TGAATGTACAGCACATTATAAACAAAGCCGTCAATTGTGGGTATAGAAGTTTTTTTGAATTATTATCCCTAAATAAGATTTCTAATATTTATTCTATAGTGAAAAGAAAAAGATGAAAGAAAGAGAGGAAGTATGGCATAGACTTGAAAGAGTAGCTGCGCATAATTTTCAAGGATTACCAGTACCATATAGCATTGGCGGTTCTTTGCCAAATTCAAAGAATGATTTATCTGGTAAATTATATTTGGAGTTTAAAATCAAGTTTTTATCTTTGTAATTTTTATCTTGATTCTTTATATTTAGACATCTCTGCTTACTTTAATTCTGAAGACTATGCAGATGAAACTCAATCTAACGGTGAAGATGAATTAATTGAAAATGAACAAAAACATGTTAATGAGGACGAGCATGGGGAAATGGTTGATTTTTAAATCTTTATGTAATCAATCATAGTTGTTAATATCAATTATATCAATTATTGATTATTATATTATCAAAATATTTATTTTTTAGCAATTTTTTGATGGTCGTCCAGATGGTTATAATATATTCCGTCGTAAATCCATCATACCAGTTGATGAGTCTGTATTATCAGAATTATCTAGGCATAAAAGTTTGGATGAAGTTCTTAATGGGCCTCCAGACAGATCCGGCTCAGCAAATCTTTAAGCAAAAGTTTGGAACAATAGAGTTATGTTAGTTAATTGTATTCTAGTAAAGATAGGGAAGGTCTTTTGCTTGGCAAGTATCATAGTATTATTACTGTAGAACTATATTTAAAAAAATCTTTATTATTATATTTAATGTATTTTATCATTAAGATTTTAACTTATAAATTGGGAAAGGACTTTTGAGAGATGATTGCTTCTGATTTATTGCATTCCTTTCTTTTATCTTTTTTTTTTTTGAAAGAAACATTTACTTTATTATTTTATTTTATTTTATTTTATTTTATTTTTTAAACGAATCATCCAATCATTTTATATATATATTATAATATTAAAATTTAATGTCTAATTTGTCTAATTTTTTATTTTTTATTGTTTTTTTTATTATTCAAATAATTACTAAGTCAATATATTATATGTAACTTTAACTGTTTTTAATTTATATATTTAGAAATAAATTATTGATATAACAAGAACATTTTATCACCACCACATTAAAATAATAAACGCAATAAAAATAGTAGTAGTAATGATGAACTTTTTATTGCCATATTTCCTTTTTCAAAAACCACTTTAAAACAGTAATATTGTTTAAAAATAAAATTAATTTTTTTTGCGTTGATTAAAATTAAATGATTTAAAAAATATATTCGAAACAATAACTTGTTCTTCACCAAATTCATTCGGACAACTTCCTTTTTTGAAATCTGCAAGCCAATAAAAGTTCAGCTTCTGTGATTAATGACACTTGTTTGATTCAAATATAGTTAATAATTAACAATTCTTTAATTATTATTATATATAAAAGTTGCCTGTTTCTATTTGAATTACGTTGAAAATACGTAACAAATAATTTGTATAAAGTGGCAAGCACTTCATTAATAACGATATTTTTGTTATCGAATGTCCAGCATAAGTTAATTGACTGGTGGTGTAAGTTTTTGAGAAGGGTGATAAGTGGAATGAGAAGCTGAGAGCAGTCTGGATGCACCTGTCACAACCCGCAAACTTCATATATATATATAGGTTACTGTCGCAGCTAGCGTGGACATTCATATGTTCCACGAAATCGTAAATTGTTACACAGAAGTTTTTGTTGAAATGCATACAGTCAAACCTCGTTTCAACGGATCTATGGGACTGACCACCTAAATCCGTTGAAACGAGATAATGATCTACAG